TTCTAAGATTATAACACAATTTCTCTTATCAGCCTAGAGAATCTCTATCCATTTTTAGTTTAATTGATTTTAGCAAATGCTTTTGTTTTTTTTTAAAGAATGGTGATTTCTATGAAAATTACGTTTGTACTTACATTTTTGTTGTTGAAGTAAGCTAATTCAGGAATTTCTTAAATATTGTTTAATATCAGTATTGTTTGTCATACCTTTTATTAGAGTATGTATTAGGTTCTTTATATGTACTGTTCCTGTACACTTTTTAGCTGCTTTTGACATGGCTGTCTATATGATCTGCTATTCTTCTTCTAATTCTTGCTTGAATGAATTCGTTATCCTTTTATTTATTCCTTACTCTAGTCTGTTTACTACCTGTTTCTCTTAAAAGTACTCTGATTGGTAATTTGATTTGTTTTAATAAGTTTAGGAATTATTGGTAATTCTTGTTTTAATTTTGCTATTACTGGTGTATCGTCACTGTTGATTTATGCCCCTCTGTAACTCCTGCAGGGGGCTGGCCTTCTAAACTAAATTGATAATTATTAAAATGATAATTACTAATCAGAGTCCTATTCACAATTTATGCAGTATCTCAAAAATCATACAAGAAATGTTTTTTATTAAATAAACAGATCTTTTATGCACAGTTATGAGGTTATGTATGGAATTCCACATCAAATACCTAAATAGCCTCCACATCGTGATAAACCTAAAGCACTGCTTTTTGAAAATTTTCTGTTGTTGCAAATATGGCTAAATTTCGTTGATACAGCTAAATATTATTTTTTTAAGTGTTAACTGGAACAATATTTATACTTCTAAAGAAAATATCGCTTGTAACTCATATAACTTGGATAGGCAATTCTGATAACCAAGATACACGAGCAAGATATGATTTATGTAGAAATATAATTGTTTCTTAGCCTGTTCTGCCATTATACCATTTAATTTAAGTAACATATGGACACATATGGTATTCAATTGGACACAAAAGCTAGTTTATCAATTTTCCGGTAGTGACTACTAGTAATTTTTATTGTCTCAAATAAGTCACAAGATTTAGAAGTAGAATAATCCGATTAATTCTCTTGCTCAAAATCAACAGCTTATAGATGTATTTGTTTCTAGATAATCACATGTGTTTTTTCCCTAACCTTAAATGAAGCAATTTTAGAGAATACCATACCATCAAGAAAGATAAACTTCATCGTTGATGAAAATTGTGTATAAAAATAGTATACCGAGTTTTTCCACGGGCGAGTATGCATGCCCTGTCTGGGGTATATCAGCACACGCTAAGAAAGTAGATGTGGCCCCAAACGAAGCGTGCCGAAGGCCAACACCAACGAACTACACTGTGTCCGATTCTAGGCCGAACACCTGAAATGATTACGCTTGGACACGAAAATGTAAAAAAGTAAAATTTCCAAAAGCTTGAAAGTTTTGCTCATTTTCACGTACCCCATTTTTTGGTATCTTCATTTTTATGTCTTACTAGAGCAATACTATTCTACCTGTAGATAGAGTATGACATATAAAAAAGGGTGTAAATTTACGGTTCCATGCATTTTGCAAACAGATGCTTTTGCATATAAACAATTCGTTTGGCAAATACGTGAAGTCACACTGATTTCTCAAGATTGGACAAGTTCAACTGCTTGAACGACTTTCTAGTATTCTAATCCACAGAAGTATACTTTTCTTAATTTTACGAATATTTCTTATTATTTATGCAGTGTCAGAGATTATTACAATATCCCCAAGTGACTTATTTTAAGTATTTATAATAAGTACTATATTTGTAGAAGAACATCCAAAAATTAAGAAAAACTGAAACAAATATTATTATAAAATAAAAACAATTAATTTTAACAGTGGAAGAAGTTAGGAGATACTAAATAGGAGAGAGACAAAGTATGTAGAATATTTACAGAACAAAACCAATCGGTAGGGCTACGTTCCTAACGTTCTGTTGAAATCACTTTTAAATTTTGGTAATATATAATTCCAAAGAGAAGAAAAATAATACAATGGAAAAAATTTAACAAGATATGTATAACTGACCAGGTAAATATTCATAGGAAAACTATATTGTAAAAATATGTTTTCTTTTACTGTTGAATTTGAATTTTAATAATATATAATTATTCCAAGAAAATTGAAGACAACAGTATTGCAAGAAATCGCAAGAAATATTATATCTTTTTCAATAGGTACGTCAAAAAACAAGTGAAATAAAAATTCTCATGGAATAATACTATTTAAGTAAGCAACATTTAATATTTAAATAAGCATAAGTTGCTGATGAATTTTAAGCATATCTACAACAGAAAAAAATAAATAAATTAAGTAGAGATTTTAGGTGTTTAGTGTTTTCTGTATTTAAAATATTATTTATGGTTTTGTTTTCTTTTGATGTCTCCCATTAAAGAATCAAGGATGCAGTAACAACGTTGCCAGATCAACTCAATGATTTATATATTACCGAAAATATAAAAGCAATGTTTTAGAAAGCACTATATTCACACGAATAACTGATAGCCTATTATAGAAATAATCTACCATTAAATAAACTAAACGTCCTAAACAATAATCGATATTACACTCTAACCATTAACTAGACAAGGCAAAAATTTAATACTTTACAAAATAGACACTAAAAAGATTTTTCATAATATACAAGCGATTCTTAATTAAGGTTTTCAAAAAACTCCATAACCCTACTGTCAGAAAAATCACACAGGTGTTCTCAACTTTTTAAAAATCTCAAAGGTCCTCTAAAAATCTTCCAGTCAGGCATCTACGTCAATGGCGAGTCAAGTTTCACGCAGGTGATTATGTCGCCGTCTTCTTCTCAACCACGGGTGAGATACCTTAGCAACATAGTTGCCAAATGTTAAAAACATTATTTTCTTACTTCTATAATAATATAAACGTATATTCCGTGTAAAATTTTAAATTAGCCACGGTATAAATAATCGTTAATTTAGAGTAGTTATTGTTGAATTTAAATGAATGACTGTTTTAGTGTTTTTCTTGTGACTTAAATAGTGGTAAATAAATATTCATTTAGAGTAATTTTCTGTAAAATATTTGAAAATATGGGAGATATGGTAGTCGCGCAATGGCAACCATGATTTGAGTCCGAGTTGATGCTGCCATCGCGCAGAGATGAGAAGAGTTAAGCGAACAAAACTCCCACGTATTCTGTGGAGACTGAGAACATGGTGCGCTAGAGAAAAACAAGAGTGAGAGGGAGAATTGGTTGAAGTGAGAGGTAGTGAGTATCGGTCTGGCGGAATGATCGACCCGCGGGGGCCTGGCGGCTGAACACTACTCTGAACGCGACGCACGACCTCGGAATCGATCGAAGACGTGCTTCTTTATTCTTTCTCTCATCACGCTGTGGATATATCAAAGGACAGAAAACAAAAGGTGCGCGATCACTGTAAAATCGTTCCTGCGATCAACATTGAGCGGCCGCAACTAACAGTCAGTAGAGTATTAGTTCGAAACACCTGTAGACGCTAGTATGTAATTGAATATAGATTTCTGGTCAATACTGAGGAATGCATGTTATCAGAGAGTGGTGGGCATGAATCTGTCGGGCAGTGTGTCCGTGTGGTGTAGTGCGGGCCCCATCAATATGTCTCTTTCGCCCTTGTGAATGACCGACCGGCCAAACAAAGGGATTATATTTACTGCGATTCTTCAATTATAGGTAAAAACAAACACCTATTTCGCATGTTTATAGTCTGCTAAACATTAATGAACTTACTCTCTTAACTGACACTTTGTTTGCTTTTTAAACAATCATATAAACAAATTCTCCTGCTGCTATGTCACAAAAACAACAAACTAGTCCACTGTCACCTGATACACACCGGCCGGGCCGCAAGCATGTTCACTCACACCTAGTTGTTTTCAATATTGAATGATTACAATAATACCTGTTATTGGAGAACTGGCAGACCTGTTCATCAACTATTGCTGACTCTTAATCTTGAATGGCGTCTCGTTACGCCCCTACTAGTTTACCTGCTTGAATACTCGTATATGCACTTGCACTCTCATCGGTTTTTAAATTTAGGCGCCGCTTCTCTATGAGTATTAGCTAACCTGTCATTAGAAATCAATTTTTGAAAATATGCAAATTAGGAACAACCTTGAATGTCACTTGCTGTTTACGCCATGCTTTTTCTTATAAACCTTTTCATTTTACATATTGACAACACGCCCATAATGTCCAATTATGTGCGTCAGTGACCAATCGAAAGGAATATCCGATATCGAACCAATACCGGCCAACTATCTGTACTTGAATTCCCAATTAGCCTGCTCATACTCAGAATATCAACGATATAAAAAAGTTTTATATTAATACATTGCATACCAAAAAAGTGCACCCAACTTCATTAATTTGCTATTAAAAAAACTTTTATATTCTTTAAAAAAACAGTCTCCGTTATTTTTGTGACTCTATTTACATAGGGAAATCCCTCGGTCTAGGTAATTTGATTGCTACCGGGAGATCTCACACATTTCTCAATCCCCAGTATATGTACTCTCCCATATGGCAGTCAAACCTGTCCCGAGTTCGGCACGTGGAGGTTCCGGTTTATTGCCGTCTACTCAAAGGCCGGAATATTATTCCTCATGAAACCTGCTAGACGCGAAACCGGCCCAGCTTTTCTCTTTAACCAGACTTTTTTGGATCTGAAATAATAGTGTTGATCTAAACCGGTACCAGTAGTAAAAGATGAATCGTTTGTAGTAAAGATCATCCTCCACGTGCCTTTTATGACCTGATTTATTATTAGCGCAACTGATGCTTTTAGTATTTTATTTTTCTTTATTTTCAGATTAACCACTGCTCTAAAAAAATAATACATCGAAAATTGATGATAACTTCATTTTGTTAGCCATAGTTGTGCCATAATTTGAGTTTATACGTAAACAAGTGCAATAAATCGATATCTGTGATAAAAACTATTAATGCCATAATGACTCGTCGACAAATTGATGATTTGTCCTCTAGTTCTTCGCCATCATTGGAAACGGACCATGGAATGATGTCTCCGCCGCCTCCCCAAGCTTCTCCTGCTAACAGATCTCCCACAGGGGACGATCGCGGTTCACCAGCCATGTTGGCAACTATGACGCCGGTCAACGTCATGGAGCTCAAAAAGGAGATGGAAGAAGAAAGTGCCATGGGGAGACCCCCCTTATACACTCAGGTAAAAACAGAAGTCTTGTATGAAAAAGATGACGATATTTATGCTCAAGGAATTGCTGATAAGAATGACACTCCGATAGACTTAATATACGAGGACGGTAATAAAACTGTTATTTACACAACAGCCCCAGACCAGAAAGGACTTGAAATTTATTCCGCGGATAATTCGGGAGAAATAACTATAAACAATATAAGTGCGCACCAAATACATGGTCAACCGATATCAGATGTCTTGATCGATAGTGGTACAAACACTATGGTAAACTCAAGTGGGGAGACTGTCGGTAGTCCTCCAGGAACAGTTTCAGTTGTTCTTCAAGGAAACGGCCAAGGACTTCTACAATATCCTCAAGCACAAGTACCTGGTACCACGGTTTTAGTACTCTCAGAGCTGGTAGATGACGTAGGAGTCGTTCCTGTAGTAGGACTAAGGTAAGTCTTTATTTACTGTTTACTTTTTGTTACATTTTTAATAGTTGGTAGGGTAAACGTTGGATGTTAAATTGAGGTTACTAGTAAGAGCTGAAATCTTGATATACGTTCTTAAAAAAATAAATTAGACTTTTCTTTTTTACTATTAGGAAAATATTGTGAAGTTTTGTATTTAAAAAACAAATGACGGTATTAGCAATATAACGTACATGTTTATTTATCAAAAAATTATTAACATATAATACAATGTTGCAACATCTGTATACGGGACGTTCAATTAAATAAATGCTAGAAACATATCAAAAAAGGTTATTTGAAGAATACATTTGAAATAGATTAAATATTAGCCAAAATAATGTCAAACTATATTATTACAAGATAATATCACAAAATAAACACTAGCACTTTTAAAAAATATGGTATATTCAGAAAAAAAAACTATTGTTGTTGTTTTTGTTCTTATAAAACCTTATTATCATTTTATATTAATATACATATGTATATACATATATATATATATATATATATATATATATATATATATATATATATATATATAAGCGAGGTTCTACAGCCTCTGCCGCCTCTCGCATTTCGACCGCTATCGTTCTCTGTCCATCCATTCGTCTTATTTGATGGCTCTATCTCTCATTAGGTGTCGTATATTTTCTTCCCAGGCAACTGAAGGCCTTCCCTTTCGTCTTCTTTGTTGTGGTATGTAATTTAAAGCTTTCTGTGGTCATCTATCTTCATTAATTCGCTTCACGTGACCATACCACACTGGTTATCTCGTTTTAATTCTGTCTACTCTGGAATATACAGTATTTGTCCTCCTTCTAATATCTTCATTCCTGATATGATCTTTTTTGGATACACCTCACGCTCTCCTTAGAAAATCCATTTCTACTACTTCTATTCTTTTTCTTTTTTTTCTCTTTTTCGTGATCTGTCAAACTCCAAATCTTTATTTATGTTTCATGCTCGTTTATTCTCACACTTAATGGTCTTACTGTTTCCCCCACATAGTAATTGTTGCATTCACAGAGTATTATATAGATGCAGTTCTTTGATCTTTCTAGTGTGTTGTTAGGTTTAGTTTTAGATGGGACATATTTTAGTGATTCTGGGTTGTGTGTGGTGTTTTATTTTTTCCTTTCTTCGATCTTATGAAATTATTTATTTATAAATAATAATGGGTAGTCATTTTTTATAAAAACGTCTGTTAGCAGGTTGTTTCTTCCTGAAATACATTTTCATGAGAGCAGGTGCTTTATCATACAATGATTTAATAATTCCTCTTTTGATATTTATATTATGGTTGAAGTGGTGGCATATCTGTTGGTGCGCATTAGTTTTCTGTACACTTTGGTTGCGTATCCTATCTTCTTTTGTGAGTAACATATCGAAAAAATGAATTAAATTGTAGTTTTCTTTTTCTATGTCCATCAGAAATGTATTTAAGGCTTCTGGTCTGTGAGCCCAAATGAAGAAATGTATATATATCCTCTGAATTTCATTTAGCAACCACGTAAAATTTCATTTTGTCGTTGTGAGTCTTCACAACCAAAGATCAAACACAATCAAAAAAACATAAATCTTGCTTATCAAATAAAAATGAGTTTTAAGTAAAAATCTACAATTTTCTTGACTTAAATAGAATTTAAAGATAATTATTAACTAAAATGTTTTCGTCATTAGCAAATACTGTAAAATTTTTGTGACTGTAGCTTTGTTTTGATATTATCAATAACAATTTTTCTACCATAAACTCCCATTATCTCAACAAATTTATTGTATATATGTTCCATAAATCGTTTTGTTATAAAGATATCTTATTAATGAATCCGTTTCATCGAAATGAATATTGTTATTCTCCTATAAACTTCATTTATTTTTAATTTGTTGTTGAGAACTTTGGATTCATCATTATTATCTTTGTCTTTATCCCTATGCGGAGTCGGCTTTCATAATTACATTTTTCCATAAGTTTCTATCTTGGGTCTTATCAATCCGCTTTATCAGCATGTACTGCATCAGCGCCTCCTACGTCTTCTTTAGACTTACTCTTTTATTCCTTCCAGTATCTAGCAGATCAGCGATTGGTCTATTGCTATATCAGGGTTCGTCTCCTTCCTATCTCCCTCAAGCTTTTCCTTAAAATGTTCTGTCGATCTTCATAGTATTTCTTGCTCTTCTGTCAATATATTACCTCTATTTTCTCACATCGTTGTTCTCGTTTTGAATTATTTTCTGCAGTTGTTCATCATCATCGTTATCTAGCCTCAAAAGTCCACTGCTGAATATAGGCCACTTCCTCGCGTTTTCAACCCGGTCTATCTTACGCTACTCTCATCCAGTTTGCTTATGTGCATTTGTTCAGTTTATGGTAAACATTTCTTGTCTCTGTTGGCTTACTTAGTTCTTGTAGTTCTTTATTCATACTTTCTCTCTTCTTTCTTCGGTGGATTTTCTTTACGTAGTCATTTATGTTGTCAATTCTTCGTCAACGCAATCATTCGTTATTGTTATTCTGTACCTTTCGTGCCTAGTACTTTTTTAGCTGCTTCTTTTATGATGTTTCTACACTCGTCTCACTATTCATTTATCTTTTCGTATTTTAGTCTGTTTTATTTATTTTGTATGTTTATAATTTCTTTATATTCTCTCTTTTATCGTATCTTTGAGTCTCCTATATTGTACCGATCATGTTTAGAACTCTTTTCTTTTTTATGTTTAAAATTCTGGCCCTTACCGTACTTTCTACTCAATAATGATTAGAATCCGCATTTACTCCTCTCCTGGTGCCAACGTTTATTATATTCAATTGGCGGCTTCGGTCTACAATAACCTGTTCTATGATATTAACTGTAAGTCCGTATGGGTTGATTGCTTATGGAAAACTAGAATATCTTTCGTAAATTGCATTTGATGGACTGATAATCTCTATTTCGCAGCTAGTAACAGCTTTTTAAGTAATGGTATAATTTGTATATTTCACAATGTTGCCGATAGCATTGACACTAGACGCCTCCCATCATTGATATCCAATAATTCGTGTAAGTTTTATAAAAATAAACGCAATTTGGTGGCATTGTTGGATGGGACACAAAAATGCATGAATTAATTTTTAAAAATTTTACATATGTGTGCAAAAAAATGGAATCCCGTTGCTTGAGATACCGTTCGTTTAACTTTTATTCGCAGTATCTATAGAACACGAAATATGTACAAGGAAGATACATAATATTTTCAAAGTATTTAATTGGATATGAAGTTTGTTTCCATCTAATCATATACAGAAAGTTTTCATGATACCATGCGATGGAATTTTTACGTGGTGTATTTAAACTGTATGTTATGATAATACAGACCAATGTAGAAGTAGAAAACACAAGCCGTTTAACTACAATATTTTTTCATTAAAGGTTGGGATTACATACAAGAAGATAACAGTCGATGTCACACTTACTCCTTGCTGTTTTAACAGCATATATTTAAATGTGGGCATTCCGTATCAATTTAAGAAATGGTGGAGGAAATCTAATCATTAGAAAGTAGGATATTGATCATTTCCTCGTAAATCCGTTGCGTGTCATCCAATCTGACGTAATTTTTGTACAGCGTTGCCGTATTGTCAGGATAGTAGCGAATTATAAAATAATGAAAATGTGAGGTTTTAAAGTCCACATCATATTCAAGATCTACCACCACTATATATATATATATATTATATATATATATATATATATATATATATATATATATATAATATATATAAATATATTATATATATATATATACGCACAACGAGGCCGTTAAGGCCTAGGGCATTTTTTGTACAACATAATCCCAATATTAACTAATTACAGATATTTTAAATAAAACTTTAACATAAATTTATATACATTCTTAACTACTCTGAAGGACCTGGTGGACAATATTTCCCCATTCGCTTCTATTTACTGCTTTTCTTTTCCAGTCCCTCACCTTCACGTGTTTAAGATCTTCCTGCACTTTACTAATCCACCTCGTTCTGGGTCTACCTCTTCTTTTGGGGCCGATTAGTTTTCTGGTTATTACTAGTTTAGGCATTATGTTTGCTGCGATTATTTCCACATCTCTCAACCATCTGATTCTTTGTGACTTGACAAACTTGTTAATAGTAGGTTCTTTGTATAAAGCCTTTAATTCATTGTTGGTTCTTCTCTCCCAACCATCTTCCGTCCTCCGAATATGCGTCTCAATATTTTCCTTTCCCATCTTTCCAGAGTATCCTCTTAATTCTTATTTATTGTCCATGTCTCACCGGCATATGTTACTGTGGGTCGAATTACTGTTTTATATATTCTGAGTTTACCTTGTCTAGAAACGTATTTTGAGTTCAGTAGGGTTCTTAAACTACCTAATTTTTGAAAACTACACCCAGGTATACAAATTTGTCCACCCTTTTAAAACTATAGCTTTTACCTATATCTGCTGTATCTTTTTTTCCTTCTACACAGAGCTTTCAATCTTCCTCGAATTATTCTATATTCTTGTTTTATTGTTATCTCTATTATCGGTTAATATTTGTTGTCTGATCTTCTTATTTTTCTTTGCTATTGCCTGACACTCTTCGTCAAACAATCTTTGTTTGTACTTCTCTTAGAGTCGCACTTAATTATTTTCTCGCTAGCTTCTCCTACGACAGATTTAATTTGTTCCCAGGCTTGATATATCTGTAAATTTTAGTAAAATTGTTGTAGAATTATATTTATTTCTTCTTCATATTTATTTTTTATTTCTACTTCCTTAAGTTTTTCAATATTTTACTTTCTCTTCGTTTTATTGTTCGATTTCTCTTTTTCTTCCAGCCTCCTTGCACCACCACAGAATAACAATCCTATTGTTGTTTCTGAAGATTATTCTCTTGTAGCATTTTAATATTATTTACTATTTTTATTGGAAATTAACTATATTTTGAGTTTAAAATACGTTTATTTTGACATTTCTATTTTCACTTCGGAAATGTCTTCAAAATGCAAATTAAACAAATTATTTTGTTTCATTACTTGGTATTACAAGGTGTAATTACTTGGTATTACTTGGTATTATTTTATCTGCTTCATTCATATCGATATTCAGACACTTCAAGGTACATAACTTTAAAATGATATTGTCAA